AAAAAAAACCAATTGAAAAGAGACAAATCATTTATTTTATACGATTCGTTAACATATCGTCCTTATTCTATTCGGTTTTTGCTAAATTTTCTTTGTTTATTGAGCATGATCTTTATTCCTTGTATTTTATGATATAAATATATGTATGAGAACATAAATGTTTTCTTTTATCAGTATATGTATTATGTATGTGATAAAGAAATTAATTATATAACAAAAGTATTCAATTGATAATTACAAGTAGAATAAGATTTCAATGTGATAATACAAAAGATGAATGTTCATTACAATAAGGTGGAACTATATAATGAATGATAATTTTACATAGTAAAAATTTTATTTGTAATTTTGCAGAAAAAATGTAAGAAATTCTAAACATTTCTGAAGAAAACTTTCAATTTTTCGTAACAGAGTCAGTCTATATTACTGGTCAAAAGTATAAGACCAACTAGAGTTGCCAGATGTTATACTTAAAAATCCGGAAAATCTCGAAATTTTTTTAGAAAATCCAGAAAGATTTTTGAAACTCAGTTGTGAGCTCTTAAAGTAATCTTGACTCGAAAAAATTATAAACAGAAATATTCTTGATAGTCACAAAATATTTAAAAATCCACAGATTAAAACATTTCTAAGAACTTATTTATTACATATTTTCCTCTTAATTTATATGTTGTTATTGAGTACAATATTTTTCGCTTGAATAAGTTTCCATAATTAGAACTTTCATAAGACAAAATCATAAGTTTTTGTAAACAATAACTATGAATTTAAAAGAATCTTTTATTTATCTGTAATGAGTACTGTTAATATAATATTTCGTTTATCAACATATATACGTTACATTGTTAAGAAAACACAATAATCCGGAAACCGGGAAAACTTTCAAAATCCGGATTTTTTCCGGAAGATCAGGTAACACTGAGACCAACGTATTTTTTTCTATGATACGAAACACTTTAATTTAAATTCAAATAGTGGTTTTAATAGCCAATTAAATTCTGTGTTTATACCAAAATTTCAAAATTGAACTCTGAGAGAAGAGTTTCTGAAAAAATACATACGGTGGTTTTCAAGTGCAAGAACACTGTGAAAATTAGTTTATGAGAGTACCATCTCAAAGAGCACGAAGTTCTGAATACAATATGGGGTCATTGCATTTCTTACGACCTTCTCTTTGAGGTGTTTATAACTTTTTAGGAGACGATCATTAAAAATGTGGTGCTCCCTTATTTTAATCAGAATTTTTGCCTTCTTTCACATGATAATCTTAAAGACTGGTTTTCCCACAGGCTTCTGTTCTCTGAGAGCTATCGTGTGTGCTTTTTCAAAAATCTTTCTCTCAAAGTTTATCTATGAAATTATGCTATGGAATGTATTTGATAGAAAATTTCATCGGCTTTTCAAACTACTATTTCGATTTGAGTTAAAAGTTTGATGTCGTAGACATAACAATCAAAAATACGTAGGTCTTATATTTTTGATTAGCACGAAATAGTAGTGAACATTAGTTTAGAGCAATTGTATTTTTAAGTCTTCTTCTCTGTACTAATAGATAGGAAGAATTTTAAACAAAATTGGAATAGATAAAAAGGATTTTCTAGTAGGATTTGTGAATCTCAAAGCTTCAATAAAATTGCTTTATATGAGAATGTCTGAAAAATCAACGCCTCGAAAATCAGTTTTCTAGCATCCAATGAAAGCTTTTTGGAAATGGTTTCACTTGAGAGCGCAAAGAAAGATATCTCAGCTCTCTATATGAAATTCTTTCATCGAACTGCATTCGATTTATAGAAGGTCGTCAACGCGTCAAACACAACGAAATGATTGAAATTTCGCATAAAAACAAAAGAAAAAAAACTGCTTCTTAGATCTTCTATAAATAGAATACAGTTCGACTAGAGAAGGTCATGAAGAGAGTCAAGACATATCATTTGCTCTATCAAACAAAACCATTGCTAACATGCTTCAAATGGATGCCAGAAAACTGGTTTTGGAGCTCTAAGTTTTTTCAGACATTCTCATTCAGGCAGTTTTATTGAAATTTTTTAGATCTACAAATTCTAATAGAAAATCCTTTTAGCTACTCAAATTGTTTTTTCTAATTCTTTCTAGTTATTATTATCATAGAGAAGAATACTCAAAAATACAGCTGTTATAAACGTTTGTTTGCCATTATAGTTTATGTAAATAATAATTACTTCTAGACCATCTACAAAATTTTAGAAAACTATAAATGATTATCTGTACGAATCTAATTGTAAAATTAGATTACATCATTAAAAAAAACAGAAATATTCATCTATGACTTTTAAATGATGAACTTCTAGGAGAGAAAAACATCATGATTAATACGGTGAATCATATTTTTGTCATAACTTTCCTAGGCAACAGAAGAAGTTAGGTAGTCTACCGTTTTGTATAGAATCTAATCTGTTATTGGCAATGACGATATATAGTAACAATCAACGAAAACATATCGGGCTTTATTTATTACGTATTCAACGATAACGATATCCACTCCATTGATTTATAAAGACTCCAACAGCTGGACTATATTTATTAGATTGATATATCAATTATAAATAGATTGACATGTCATTACATCTAGATAAGTTTACTAATTCAAATATTTAAATCATCGATATATACTTGACGTTGTTGATAAGCTTATTAGGACTGGTTTTTTATCAGAAGTCATGTACCACGCGTAAGAGATCGCCTGACACATGTTCCATAGAATGATAACAAATAGCAAATGTTTGTTTTATATTTAGTTTAAAATTTAAGTTTATAAACTGAAAAAAAAATTCATTTGTTGTCTATCGTCATTCTTCTATGACTAGAAGAACAAAACTAAAATGTTGACGCTTTGGTTGTATCTCAAACACATATAATGAAATCAACAAAATCTCGATACTATATCGAAGTGTTTTTTGTGTAACCCGTAAGAACATGGATAATCATCGAACAAATGCTCATAATCTTATTGATTTTAATCAACTTTTTGGTCAACTACCTCATAAATATAAATTTTTTGTTAATGTTAATTACTGAGTACGTTTTGCTCTTTAGCAACTAGAACGAAGTCAAGATGACTTATTCATATGACATTTATTCAAGATCAATTAATTTATGTTGAGACTGTACAGATTCATGATAGTCCATGCTGACCTAAACATGGTTTTTTTTTTTTATCAAGTATAAGCATTAGGGTATAATTCAAAACATACGTGAGAAGATAAATGATAGAAAATTCCAGATGATATTAATTTCTTACTTACCAGTGGGTTGCCATAAACTATCCAGAGTTATAATCCATCAACATAGAAACAATTAGATTATCCTGATTTATTACATGAAATTGTCACATACCATGCATTCATCTTTTTACTTATATGCATTCTTGTCGTAGTGTTAGTTTATATGAAAGTGATAATTATCGAATATTGGAAGATGATAAAGTAAAAGCATTATCCAATGATATACTTTTTGCTAATCTAGCTTAATTTATCAACGAAGAATCGTTGGAGTCATTATGTTATACTTGATTATTTTTTATTAAATATAAACAAAATTACATTGTATATTTTTTTTTCTATTCAAAAAAATAGTATAGATGCAAAAAAATTACAAAAAAATACCAGATTACAGTAAATAGAAATTTATTTTTCTTATTTAACTTGGATCACTATTGACAATAACATCTACTGGAATAGGTTGAGGTTTTGTACTTAATCTATCAAATGTCAAAAACCATGCACGAATTTTTTCAAGAAAAACAAATGTTAATATTGTATGTGGACCTAATCTTACATAAAGAGCCAACCATCCATTTTGTAATGCTTTCCATCCTTCAGCATGTATAGTTTTCTTAAAACAATCTATAACACCATAATAAACTGTTTGTCGTCCACTTGATTGATATATACGTGTTGAAATAACATCAAATGGATTCATCATAGTAACTGTAAATAGAGACGATATGAAACTTGCAAAAAGATGAGCTGGAAAACCATCATGTAAATTTAATTTTTTTATTGAAAATTCTTTTAATTTATCATATGTTGTTAATTGAGTTGCTGAACCAACAATTACACGTGGTAAAGCCGCTGTTACACCGTAAAATAAACCAAAAAACCCTTTATGATGCAAAATTTTTTTTAAACAATCCATTGTATTTTTGTAATGATGTTCTTCAGCAGCATGAAAATAATTAGATTGAGCCTGAAGACGATTTTTAGCAAGATAACTAAACAAAAATCAACTAGAATCTTACAAATATCACTTTAACAATAAGATATTATTTACAGTGGTGAACTAACTGTTACACCTATTGTACCGGATATAGCACCAGAAACGACTTTATTTAAAATGCTATGTTCTTTACATTTAGTTATATCTCTTATTATGTTTTGAATAGGTTCGAAAAGTCCTAAACGTAATCCATTCATAATGATTTGTATTCCAATAGCTGGACCAAGACCTGCCTGAAGTGCTTTAAAACCTTCCTGTCGAATAATTTTTTTATAAGCATCAAACATGTTAGCATATTGTTTTTTTGTACGTATACCATTTTGTATAGATGCTTCACCATCTAGTTGCATTCGAGTTTTAACTGTTTCAGGCATATTTGTAATAAAAACAGCACCAGTAGCTGCTAATGATCCACTGCCTACGGATGCCCATGTTCGAAGTTTTGGTTTAGATTGTTGATCTTTTACATTCATAAGGAACAAACAAAAATAAAAATAGAAAATTTTATTTAATTATAATACTATTTCGTTTTTACTATGCATCTAGAATTTAAAAATATATATATATATATATATTCAGTCGTATCATTATTATTAGAAAAACTTTTGATTAAAATGGTCAATGAAGACGATGCACAATCGGGAATAAAATTGAGAAAAAAAAGTCAAAAAAAAAAAATATATACGTAGCTTTTTGCAGTATCACCTCATACTTAGTATATAAGTAAAATAAACCGTGAATAATTCTCAATGCTTAAACATTGATCTTTCAACAGCTTCAGCAATCATTGTTTCTTCATCTTGTTCATAATTAACATATGTTTCTAAAAATCATATTAATCATATCAATAAATAAATAAATTTCTTTTTTCTATTTTACCATAATTAAACCGATGACGACCTAAAATATGTTGATAAACGTTTGTTGAAACTCGTTCTCTATCGCCCCATGGCATTGATGCACAAATTGAACTATATGTATATGCACAAAATTTTAAATTTAAAAACAAATATATATATATATAAGATAATGGAAAAATGTTTAACAACAACAATAACGTCATTTTTATTTTGTTTTATTTTTCTATAATGTTAAGAGCCTAGTTAAAATCCAGATAGTGATTTTAATAACTGATGAAGCTATTTTTTAACTATGTTATGTAGAGATTTTTTGATAAATTTTGTTTTTTACGATTTTTGTGGTACGATCAATTTTTAAGGGGCGGATGTAATATAATGCCGCGACTTCTCCTATTATTCTCCTTAAAATGGCATTGTCAAAAATAAATAGCTTCGATAGAATGTTCAGAAAATTGAAAACTACCATGTCCGTTATTTTAGAAATCTTGTCATTATATATACAATGCATTAGATAGAAAACGGCATTTACTATTAAAATCATTATCTTGATTTGAACTAGGTACTTAACATTATAGCAGCATAAAATAAAAAATACATTATTGTTAAACTTTTTTCCATCACATATATATATTTCTTTTATTTACCAAACTCGACGTGGATCATCATCTAAATGATTTTCTTCTATATGTTTACAAAGATTTTCTACAGTAAAACTAAGAAAAAAATAAAATAAAATGAAAAATAAAATAAAATAATTTATTATTATTATACTTTGATCTTGGACAATAAGGACATTGAAATGTTGAACGATTCTCTCCATCTCGTGCTTTTTGTAATGCTTCAGCTTGTGGTTTTGATAATTGTTGTAGAAAATTCGGGGTAAAAATTCTTTTAATATCTTCAACACCTACGTTTGGCTTTGATGGTGTACAGTTCTCAAGATGTTTTCGTAAATTACATAACATAAATGGTTTCGAACAATGAGGACATATTCCCTCAAGCGTCTTTAAATCAACCTCTAGATCCCGGCAATCTGAATATCCTAATGATTCTGTTCGACATATAGCACAAATAAAACATTGATCGGTTTCATAAAATTTTGGTTTATAAATAAGAGATCCATATGTTATGGTAGATGATGTTTCATTTAATAGCGAACTCGTTGATGGTGGTGATGATGGTGGTTTTCTCAGACCGCTTAAACATGATTGACAATAAGAATGCGAACAAGAAAGACTAACGGGATTTTCGAATATTTCACGGCCTATGAATAAAATCATTTAATTTATTACGTAGATCAATAATGAACTTAGAAAATTATTATTTACTACTTTATAATTTAGATAGAATTTTGAAAAAAATAGCTTTTCAAAATTCAAATGAATACTATTAATTAAGTTTTTAAAAATCTTCTTGATTAAAGAAAAACGAATTTCTTATTCTACTCGAAAGAATATAATTCATAATACCTCAATTTGACCTTTAGCAATCTCATTATTCTTTACTAATTGATAATATAGTTGCACTGTATACAGAGACTATTTGTTGACATTGTACAGATTCAGTGTCAAAATAGTTTATATATTGTTGTCATACGAAATCTATATGGTTTTAATATACAAGAGCAAATATATCTTGAAAATAAACGTCTTAGAACAGAATAAGTCAACAAGAATATCGTTGATAAGAAGGAAAATGCTTTTTTTTTTTCATTTAAAAACTAGTCAAATTTTTGTTGTTGTCAAACTTACAAATGCTACAAGTAAAGTCTCCCAATTCGATAGCTGCTGATGCCATATTATCCGACGATCTAACCGAAATACCAAAGAAATCGATCTGAAATATGATAGATGAAATAAAAATAACTTCTGTATTATTGTTAAAAGCGTTGAATGTTGGAAAAACAACAAACACTTGTAACAGCGTCGAAGTTTTTTTTTTTGTTTTTCTCTTTCTTCCTCAGTTTATTTATATTTTTGCACATGACTTATAATGATTTTCTTTCCAAGATGCAATTCTTATTCAATTTTTATTACTAAGAAAAACAAATTCTTTTCATCCTTGTTTTATTTATTGCTGAGCAGCCATAATGATAATAAAAAAAAAAGAAGAAATAAATCAAAGAAAAACGGATACGAGAAGAAGCTAGAGAAGGATAGTAGAGTGTGCCAAAAAAAAAAACCTTTTATTATATTGAGAAAGGATAAAAGAAAGAAGGTTGAACAACACACATATTAGTTTGATTTGCTAGTTAATGATGATGGAACAAAAAAAAAATTTAATCATCTCGATATTCAAATGGTTCAGGTGGAGGTGGTTCTGGTAAGTCTTCTTCCTTTGTTGGTCCACCAGCTAGAATAAACAAATGAAAATTAATAAAAAAAAAAACATTTTTTCTATTAGTTTTTTGTTAACCTTTAGCTAGTTCAACTAATGTTTCTGGTTCATTCGATTGTGTATCTTTAACAAGAATAATTCCAGCATGTGTTATATCTTTAATTGTTTGATATCGTGAACCTTTCGGTAGTGAAAGTACACGTTGCTGTAAAACAAAAGAATTAATTATAGTTAATAATATTTAATTGGCAAGAAAAGAAGACATACTTGAGCTTTCACTACTCGTGTCGGATTGTGAAGTATTTCCGAATCGGGTTCTTTTTCTTTTTTGTTAGATGGAACTGCTGAATCATCTTTCTTTTCTATTGATGTCACCTTGTCCTTGTCATCAACATCTTTCTTTGATTTAGTATCATCATCGATAGTAGTAGTAGCAGTAGTAGTTTTTTTCTCATCCGAATCCTGAATATAGAAATATATCTATTATTAATATCAAATAGAATGTTGAATTAAAGATTCATTTACAGTTTCCATTGCTGTAGCTTCATCAGTTTTTTCACCTTTCTTCTGAAGGTCACGTTTTTTTTGTTTAGCTGTTATTGAAAGTTCAACTGTTTCAACTTTTTCTTTTTTTTCTTCTTTTTTATCCACAAGTGCTGGTGGATATGCAAATACAGATGGTGGAGCATTTGATACGTAATCAACATTTGGCATCTAAAATGTTATAGTTTAAAAAGAAAGAAACATATTTTCGTCATTAAAATGAAATTAATGATTAATTTACTTTAAGATCTTGATTAAGTGTTACTAAACATGTTGGTGAAAATGCCAATGAAAGAAAAAGACTGAATGGAAACCAATACCAAAATTGAGTAAAAACAAGTAATCCAACAACAGACATTGTATCGGTTTGACCACTACGTGTTAATAATGATACGGTAACATTTCGACCACCTACAATAATTATTTATGATTACAAAAAAAAAACAAAAAGAAACAAGTAAGCCTAATATCACAAACCAGCATCCAGAATTCCATGAGCTAAGATGGCACCAAATTTTGCCATAATATCATCATGTTTATCACTAATTACTTTCATATAATGTTCACGAAACATTTTTACCTAGATATAATTGAGAAAAGAATAAAATAAAATAAAAACATTCTACAAAAAAAACAAAACAATTTCTACAAACTTTTGGACAAGTTGCTTCCGTATGTTGAATACAAATAAGTGCTGATGCTATTAAAACACCTTGTCGAACATAATTCACAGCATCATTTAACATTGGTTCGAGTACAGCAATAGCTTCCTATCATTTTACACAATCATATAAAAATCCATACAGAAAAAAAAAACAATATTAGTTTCTACCCTATTGCCTGTACCAGCACAAGCTAAGCCAAGTGCCATTGCAGCACCACATCGCACATGTGGATTGTACGATTCAGCTAATAAATTAACCACTGAAGGAAATTGTTCAGGCGTGCTAAATATAATTAAGTATTCAGAATTATTATTGCCATTACCGCTGCTGTCACACAACAACAAAAAAATGTGTGTCACAGCTGCATATTATAGACTGATGAGTCGACAAAAGCCTGTATGACTCTATTATTTCTTTTCTTGTCTCGAGCTACTAACACATCATATTAATAAGCAAATTGCTACCAGTGGAAAAGGATAAGAGCATCAAGAAAAACAACTAAACTTCTTGTGCCAATAGATAAACAGTACTAAAAAAAATAAATGACTATAAATAAAAGAATAATCATTTTCTGTCAGTTGAAATATGACAAGTTCGATAGGCGAACATTGTTTCTCTCTCTCTCTCTCTCTCTCTCTTAATCATTAAAATCAGATGATTGTATAGTATCACGGGAAATTGCGCTTGAATAAGTTTGCACGGTTATATAGCATGCAATATGAGAGAAAGGCAGCAGAACTATCAAAACGGTAATGAATCATGAGAGAGAGAGAAAAATGCGTTTACTGTTCTAAGATATTTTTTTTTCTTTTCCATTTTTAAATAAACAAACATTTTCTTTTATTTCTTCTAGATTGAGATATTAATGTGTATATATCAAATTCTTATTCTCTAAAATGGAGAAGGTGCTGAAAAGAACATGTCGTTGTATTTCTTTTCGATTTGTCAATTAGAATTGATCGATCAATCGATCTCCTTTTGCGTCTTGCTCTCTTTCCTCTCGTTTTTCATTTTTTTTTCTTTTGCCTATTAGATGCTTCATTAGTTCGAGAGCAAGTGAAAGCTGTAGCAACGAATGTGTGCAACGCACATGCAAATCTTATCTTGTCGTGACGTCTCAATTACTTTAAGAGAACACAAATAATTTGAGGGGAGCAAGAGGAAGGGTGGGGAGGGGGGGGGGGGTTACTATTCAACGTAACTACTATTATAACTAGTGCTTCCTTCCAATGATCAACGACTTTTGTTTTCTTTTTTTTTTTTCGAAGATTCTATTCTTGTTTGTCTTGTCAGCCTTTGTTGTTGACAGGAACACCCCCATATTATGGCAATCTTCTATATTGGTTGATTCTGTTAATTCAGTTCGGACGATGGTTATCAAAATAAGTGTGACGTTAGTAAATATTTCTATATGCATTTAGGTAGAAGTGGAAAAAAAATAAGGAAACAAATAATCGAGCACTTCAACAAAGAGTTTTTTTGTGCACTTCCATAGGAATAGATGATTAATCAAAAAAAAACCGATCTTTCCTTGATACAACCAACACAGCTCTTTTTCGCTGTATGCGTGTGTCGCTCTCTCTCCCTCTCTCTCTCTTTCCGGTTTTCTATAAGCAGAGAGAAAAGCAATAGCAGCAATACTAATAGTGTATTTTTTTTGTATCTCCTGTCTTTCTCTCTCTTGCGCGCGCGCTCTTTCTCTGTCCCTTTTTCTTCAGATCTTTGCTACATTCTATTCTTTCCACTGCTACGCAATCGGGTGGCAAGGCATACGAAGGTTTTTAAACACGAATGACTTTCGATGCACGCAAATGTCTCGTCCGACGCCGTTGCCGCCGACGAGGACACAACTTCTGTTGTTTTCATTCATGATAGTGGCCTCATTTTTTCGGCAACTCAACGGCACTTAAATACAATACTTGTAATTTCTTATTGTTGGCCAGCATTACTTCTTTCATTTTTTTCCATTATTGGTATTGTTGGTAATTTACTTGTTTGTCTAGCAATAGCAACTGAACGACGTTTACAAAATCGTACAAATTGGTTTCTTTTCTCGTTAGCACTTGCTGACATGCTCGTTTCGGGTCTTGTCATTCCATTAGCTGTTGTTAAAGAATTTACAGGTAGAAGAAAACAAAAACAAATTAGTATTTGAATTTTAAAAGACGGCAAAAAAGAATACGAAGTATTGTTTTTTTGTTTAGGTTTTTGGATATTAGGTCCAGCTTTATGCGATTTATGGATTTTTTTGGATGTTTGTTCATGTACATCATCAATTATGCATATTGTTGTTATTTCAATTGATCGTTATTTAGCAATAAATGATCCATTAAATACTCGTAATCGACAACAAAAATGTAAAATTCTTCTATTGATTATACTTGTTTGGTTAATTGCAATTTTATTATCATCTCCAATGATTGTACTTGGTGCAATTAATCCATATAATATTTTTATTGATGGACAATGTTTAATAAATAATCAATTTTTTGTTATCTATGGTAGCGTTGTTTCATTTGTCATCCCATTGATTATAGTTATTATTATGTATACACTAACTGTACGTCGTTTAAAAGAACAAATAAGACAGTGTCAAACACAACTTGCTCAAGAACAATTAGCTCGTGCTGCTAGTTTAGTTGCTAAGCCATTTTTAAGACGACATATACCAACACGAGATGCTGCAAGTGCAGCCGCTGCTAATATTAATAATTCACAATGGACACCAATATCAACTAGAGTATTAAAACGTACACGTTTACGGCAACCTCAAACAAGTTTAGATTTAAGCGAAGAAAGTGCAGATAATATAAGTTTACAACAACAAAGACAACAACAATTACAACAAGAACAATCCGATCAAGAATCTCAAATTGAAGAAAAACCAATTATATCACAAGATCTTACATTACAAGCATCAATAAAATCTTCACCACATATTGAATATGCTTGTCCAAAAAATCCATTTTATCAATTAAAATGTACCTGTAATTATCAACAGGAACAACAGGAACAACAGCAGCAACCGTTAGAAACTGTTGCCGAACCTGAATCGCGCTTAAGTTGTTTAACATATCTTTGTTGCTGTGCAAATACTAGTCCTTCTCCACGTCTACGTCGACATTGTTCTCCTAAATCTTATCCAATGTCAATACCAATGTCAACAACATCAAATCAATGTTTAACATCTTCTAGTCGTTCAACATCTCGTAGGACTGCGAGAAGAAATTGGAATCGTTTAACAATAACACC